GAATTGCCTGAACCCAGGAGGCGGAGGTTGCGGTGAGCCGAGATCGCGCCATTGCACTCCAACCTGGGTAACAAGAGTGAAACTCCGTCTCAAAAAAAAAAAAAAATAAATAATAATAATAATAATAATAATTAGGTCGGTGCGTTACAAAATGCCACTGCTAGGTATTAACTTGCATAGTGAATATCAAAGTTTTCAATGTTTCTACACATGCAGAATTTTAAGAATATGCGATTACTCCCTAATGAATAACAACAACCTTTTCTGACCTATTAAGCAAATTCAATTATTTATTAATACTGGAATTAAGATTGAATAAGACAGGCCATATTTAATCTTTATAGGTTCTATTTATTCTTCATTCTTTTGAGTATATTAGAAAGAAAGTACTTTTTAAAATTACTCCATTCAAATCAGTTACTTGGTAATTGCTAAGGGTTTTTAGAAGATTGAATGCTAACCCAAACTCTTTGACATTGTTCTAATAACTCTAACAGTAATTTTATCAAACCACATTTTATTTACATGTTATGACCAAACTTTAAATATAGATTAAAACGGTTATTTTTAAATTAATCTAGATGTGGCATTTAGATTGTAAATATTTAGTTAACTCCCAAATTTATAAAGGACTAGAGAAAGAAACATTACTTTTCTAATTCACGGTATGGTAATTTCTGTAAAACCCTTCACAACAGATTCATATATCGAGGTCCCAAAAAGCTAATTATAGAGTACTCTTATTATTTAAAACAATCTCTGAATAATGAACCACAGGAGGATCTCTTTCTAATAAGTTTCTTTTTTAGTACATCAGAAGCAAAAAATCACAGCTCTTTTTGAATTATTAAAAGTTAGTTGGTCTCACACATTAGAACAAGTTTTGCAAATGATGGAACAGGTATTAAAACCATCAGGACAAATTCATTGCAACTTCAAGTTAGGAGAATGTCTACCTGCTCAGGAATAGAAAGTGAATGTCTCTTCCTGAATTCTGCTCTAATATTCTTCATGTCATGAATCCTCAACTGGAACACATAAAGGGCATTAGACAAAACATAAACAGCATTCCCCTGGTAGCTAAGCAAGGCAGAACTCTAAATCAAAAATACAGTATGGAGCTGGAGGTGATTATTTTATCTTAAATTCAAGGGAACGTGTTTCAAAGTTCAAAAGGAAGAATCATTAATTCCCTCAGTTAATATGATATTAACAACTGAAATTTATTTCTCCCTTTCTTTTTATGTTTTGAGGCTGAGTGTAGCTCTGTTGCCCAGGCTGGAGTGCAGTGGCAGGATCACAGCTTACTGCAGCCTCAACCTCCCTGGCTCAAGCAATCCTCCCGCCTCTGCCTCCCTAGTAGCCGAGATTATAGACACATGCCACAATGCCCCGTTAATTTTTTACATTTTTTGTAGAAATGAAGTCTTGTTATGTTGCCCAGGCTGATATTTGAACTAAGCTCAAGTGATCTTGTTTCAGCCTCCCCAAATGCTGGGATGACAGGTCAGAGCCACTGTGCCTGGATAACTGGTATTTCTTTGTTTGCTATTATGTTCTGAGCAGAGTGTTAAAGCCCTTATGCATTATCACTTCATGGAAGTTATTACAAGTAAGTTAAGAGCCCACACTCCAGAACCAGATCTCCAAGTTCACATTCCAGATCCACCATTCACTAGCAGTATGGCCTTGGGCAAATTAATAAACCTCTTTGTGTCTCAGTTTCTTCAGCGGCAAAATGGAATTAATGATATATTCTACTTGACAGGGTGATTATGTATATAAGAGTGAACAACATTTATAAAGCACGTATTATATATCTTTTCTCCTAAATAATCTCTTTGAAGAGAGGAATACATTTATATTTAACTATTCTGATGATTCCTAGCATCATTACGTAGTAGGTTCTTAATAAAGACTTATTGTGTTACTCAGAGCTTCTGGTCACCTGTGTTTGAAATGAAGAACTTGTTAAATTATAGGTTCCTAGGATCTACTATAAAGATACTAAGTAACTGGTGCTAGACTTAGCAGGCTGCACATTTTAACCAAGCGTTCCAGCTCTGACGCGCATCAAAGTTTGAGACAGACTGGTATAGCGATTTGAGTCTTTCTTTCGTCTTCTATAAACTGTGGATTACTATAGTAGTATCTGTCTTATATGGTTGTTGTAAGAAGTAAATGAAATGTAGCATATATAAAAAGTTTAACACAATGTTAGCAATTTTTAGGGCTAGATATTATTTTACTGACTTGGTTGGAACACAGAATTTATGTCAAGAGTACTAGGTGATAAAGGTAGAAAGGAAGGCTGATTCTAGATTGCAGAATGTTTTAAAGTTAGGTAGAAAAAAACTCAGCTGAAAGGTCTAAACTAAGTGTTTCGATTGGGAAGGCAATGTCATTATATCTTGCCAACAAATATATTAACACAGACAAAAGTCTACCTGCTTAAAAATAGAAGAAAATGAGACTTCAAATTTACTTTTTAAAATAAATAAAAATACTGTGCTGAAGAATAAATCAAACAATTACAAAGTATTTAGAATCTATCAATAAAATCACCTACTCAAAGAGAGCAAAAACAAATAATGTATATGTAATTATCAATTTATAATTATTATACTCTTTATTAAACATATTACATATTCATTTCCTTTAAAACAAACTGCAGCAAACTCTGGGAATTTTCATATATATTGCATTGAATGACAAAGCTTTTTACCATAAACTACATCATAAATTCACTTCACATTCATTTTATATCTTATTTCTTTTTTCTTATTTCTTATTTCTCCTCCTACCTGCACAACTAGACACAGCACTTCTCTTCCTCATTTCACATTATCTGGGGCCCACTTTAAGTTTCAAGGAGGGTAAATAAGTACTTAAATAACAACTCTTTAACAAGTACATCTCTGAAAAAAAATCATTTGTGCATGTGTGTTGCAGTCAAGTATTTTACTGATCCTTTGTTAAAGTTTGACTTGGCTTCTCTCTACTTGCCTTCAGCTACCTACCCATAGCATTTACTTATTTCTTCACCCAAGCTCTGATATATGTTCAGCTATAAGCCGTGCAAGTAACAATCTCACTGGTGCAGCCACAGAAGGTGACCCAGATTACACAACACTGCGTGCTAACGCCAAGTTGTCTTGTTCAACGACAGCTGCTCTATGCTTTGCCTTATTGATATTCAGATTCAACAGACAGAAATCACATGGCCCCTTTAACAAGCACATGCTTTCCCTGTCTTCATTTTAAACGTGTTCAATAGCTACTGTCCTTCATAAACACACAGCTGGGGCTGTTTGGTCTCCTCTGATTTTCCATCCCACCATAGAACTGACAAGATTATCCCAGAAACATTGCTCTTGTTTCTATTTGGGGAAGTTCATGGGAAATAATATCTTCATTTATAAAACAGAAACACATAACAGTAAAAGCCCATTTCTCTGGTGAAAGAAACACTTTGAACCATTACTTTTTGGGAAACATTGAGACTATCCCCTTGATTATGAGAGCAAATGTTGTAATACAGAGTTATTTAAAAGTGAAGATAAACATATAGTATGTGGAATAAAATGAAATATATCTCATGAATAACATTCTTTTAAAGGATATCAATTAGTAAGTGCCAAATCTATTTTGTAAAAGTGTAAACACAACAAAATATCTTCTTTTCTATGTGACCATTTCATTCTCCAGCTCACTACTACAAAAGCTAAAAACAAAATTTCTGCACATGAATACTTATTGGAAATCACAGAATCCTAAAATTGACTGTTCACGTCGACTGATATCACTGATTTTTTTTAACACAGAACACTTAAAAAAACAAATAAAAACTTCCTTTTTTAGCGTTGTATTTTATAGAACATGCAACATTATCCATTATTTGTAAGAAATATAATAAGCCAGAAATAAACCAGGAAAAACGCCCAAAGTTCAAGACATGGGAAAGGCTTACTTTTTATGTAGATGAGCAGTGAGAAACTGAGGTAGAAGATAAGAAAGTACTTAATGTTCTTAAGTGCCATGGTCTTCCTTAGAGAACATCCTCTGATGTGTTGCTGCTGGTGGTCTGGTCCCAGTCTGGCTCCTGATGCCTGTCTGTCTCAGAGAGGAGCAGTTGCCTTAGAACTCCCAGGTGCCATCTCTGTCCCACCCCACTTACAGCTTCTTCACAGAAAACACAGGGACTTCGATTCAAAAGGCAGTTTGTGCTTCTTAGCATCACTTACACTGGAGGATGGGGTGATTATTCAAACCTGGTGCAGATTTTTTTCAGGCTGGATTGGATTCATCCCCACCTCAAGCCTTTGATACGAGTTTTCTTCTGTTAATGCTGGCTCCTCCAAAGGTCCTACATTAGGATAGTGTCTTCAATTGCTCTCAACAGAGGGATTAATTTCTGATAACTGTCTTGCCACACAATTATGATCTGGCAACTTTTAAAGGAATACCATATGTCCCTATGTATTTACTTTCATCTTCAGAACACAATTCACAGACATTTTTTTTTTCTGTTTATAAATTATATTCCCACAACTCAGATTTCTGTTGTTTATAAGTTGTGCCAAGATAGAAGAAAACTTAAACTACTGCATAAAATGAACAGAGTTCTGGAGATCATTTAGGGGCAGATTTTGTTCACAAACCCAGAGCTCATTTTATTCTCGGTTCATGAAATTACATGCTCTGGGATTTCTTGAGCTTTTGTTTTACCGTAATTGATGAATGCAAACATGTTTGGTTATTTAGAAAATATATTTGTTTTAAATACAACAATATTTTTCTCAGATTAAATTGGTCAAGTCCTTAAAATTGTATTTTTATTAGATACTTCATGAAAACATCCGTTAATTAAAATCCGAATGCTTCCTTCTCTAATTGGTGTTGGTGATAGCACAGAGCCTTTTTCCATTGTTAAAATTGCTCACTTGTTACCCTTTAAAATGCAATTTCCCTGGCTGATTGTTACAAAGCTTTATAAATCTGCCAGCTTTTTAAACTATATACATATATTTTGAAGTCTTTATATTTTCTGCCCATGTACCTAATATTTTGATAATCAGCTTAACGTCTTTTATTAATATTATTCTCACACACTCCCAGATTTACTTGTAGAGTTTATCCATTTAAAATTATTTATTTTTTATAGAATTCTTGACAATTATTATTTAAAAAGTTTCTTCTTCTTCTCATGCAAATAATTTAACTTGGGCAATTTAACAATTAGAGTAAAAGAATTTCACATTACAGAGGCATTACTAACCGCCTATTTTAATCCCTGTGTTTTGTCAATTGGAGAATTGAGAAGCAGGGCAACTATTCTGTGTGCTCAGAGTCATCTGGTGGGTCAGTGTCAACATTAGGACCAGAGTCTTCCCATGATTTCTAGAACATTAGTTCTTCAATAAATCTTCTGAAGTCTCTTTTCATCTTTATTCTTATGTGTCCCTTCATGCCTTTTGCAATAATACCATTCTGGGACATCTACATACTGAACCAATTTGATCTCCATCTGTCCTAAAAAGTCCTCCATCATGAACCCCAAGGCTAAGGAATTTACAACATGGAAGGCCAATTGATAGACTGGAAAGGAAATGAATAGACTCAGGAGAAGAATCTGATATTAGAAAGCCTTCTGTTAGGGTGTGTTTAATTGTGAGTGTCACAATCAAAGAAACAAAGAAAATTAGTTTTTTAAAAGACAAAAATATCAAAGAAAATAAGTAGTTGAGAAAACATGTTATACAAAGAATGATTATAGAAATTATATACATGGAACTTGAGTATAAAGAATTAAGTGGATATGGCCATTACATGAATGAGTTCATGGCTACTATGTGTCAGATTTGGGCTAGTCAGGAATTCCTTTAGAAAAAGATATAACATGTACATTGAATTTTCAAACATAAGTATGGGTATGCTATAGTCTGAATGTTTTTCCCTGCTTCCCAAAATCACATGTTGAAACCTAATCCCCAATGTGATAGTGTTAAGAGGTGGGGAATTTTGAAAGGTGATTAGGCCTAACCCTCGTCAATGAGGTTAGTGCCCTTATAAAAGAGGACTAAGGAGCAAGTCCTTACCAGCTACCAAATTTGCTGGTGCCTTGATCTTGCTCTTCCTAGTCTCCAAAATTATAAGAAGTATTTCTGTTGTTATAAATTTCCCAGTCTAAAATCTGTTATAGCAATGTGAACAAACTAAGAGTACAATGAATAAATAGGGCAAGAGTGAAGCTTAAGAGTATTGCAGAAAAAAAGGATATGTATATAGGAATAGAGGCCTAAGGCAGTTGGGCAAACCAAGAAACTAGAAATATTCTGATATTGCGGAAACATGGGTGTGAAGAGATATCAGGAAATAAGACAGCAAATCCACAAAATCAAGAAAGTTTAATTTTCAATGTGAGGAAAGGACATCATTAATAGGTTTTACGTAGTGAATTCGCATGCTCAGATTTGTGTTTAGAATGATAACTCCAGCAGCAATGTAGCCATGGTTGTAAAAGGGCAGATGGGAAACACAGAACCAGTGAGAAGGATATTGCTGTTGTCCACAAGGGAGATAATAACGGACTGAATTAAAGCAATGGGGATGATAAAACAAAACAAAACAACAATCAGCTAGATACATCTAAAGACATGCAGAGAATAAGGAAACATGAAAACTAAGTTTTATCAGGTTTTGAGCTTTGGCCTTTGTGCTATTATTAATGTAATTCATAAAAATGAAGAATATAGACAAGGACACCCAGACAAGAAACAGCAAGAACTGTCCTTCCCAACTCAAACACATTTAAATATATATATATATGTGTATATATGTGTATATATATATATATATATATTTGAGCAAAGTGTAACATTTATAGAAATATGTAAGTGAGTTCAACAGCCAAAAAGTAAAATACCCATTTGAGACAATTCTTGGCTTTTGGAATGGAAAGAAAGAGAGAGAGAGGAAGAGGGTGGAAGGGAAGAAATGGAGGAAAAGAAAGAAAAGAAGGAAGCAACAAGGGAGGAGGGACAAAAAGAAGGAAGAAAGAAGTAGGAGAGAGGAAGGAAGGGAAGAAAAAAGGAAATAAAGAGAAATTGTAGTTCAGAAATAGGGAAGTCAATAAGAACTGAGGTGAAACTAAACTCTCATGTGGAAATGCTACAACTCACAGTTCACAAATGATTCCCATAGAAGCCAACTGCTACCAAAGATGAGCTCACAGCTTAAAGCTATAGATCAAACTAGAAATCCACTGCCATGAGAGACATCGGACACAATGAATGTGAACATTCACACTCAAAAGATTCATGATGATGGAGCTAACTTAAGAGATTATTAAATAACACTTTGTCAAAATACAGAAAAAGGGAACACTTACGCACTGTTAGTGGGTAAATTGCTACAACATTTAAGGAAAACAATATGGAAATTACTCAAAAAACTTAAAACTACCATTTGATCCAGTAATCCTATTACTGCGTAGCTACCCAAAAGAAAAGGAAAGAAATGATTATACAAAAAAGATAACTGTATTTATATGTTTAATGCAGTATTATTCACAATAGCAAAGATATAGAATTAACCTAAATGTCCATCAATGTATGATTGGATAAAGAAAATATGGTGTTTATACAACACAATGGAATACAATTCAGCAATAAAAAATGAAATCATGTCTTTTACAGCAACATGGATGGAACTGGAGGCCATTATCTGAAGGGAAACAACTCAGAAACAGAAAACTGAATAACTCATGTTCTCACTTATGAATGGGAGCTAAATAATGTGTATACATAGATGTAGAGTGTGAAATGATAGATGATGGGGACTTGGAAAGGTGAGGGGATTGGAGGAGGAATGGATGATGATGAGTTACTTAATTGGCATAATGTACATTGGCGATGGATATACTAAAAGCCTAAACTTCACTACTATGCAAAATGTCCGTGTATCAAATTGCACTTGTGCCTTTTAAATACATACAAATAAACATTTTTAAGAGATAAAAGAATGCATTTATTTTATAAAGGAAGAACAGGACATCATAAACATGATTAAGCCTATTTGAAAATAAACCAAAGGTAAATTGTAAAAAAAGTTATTAAAATACTTTAAAAATTTTAACTCATAACTTAAATAACAGATGGCACTGCAATAAGCTAACTAAAAGATAGATCTGAAGATTTTTTTAGAATAGATCAGTATGATATAAGGAGTTGGTGGAAAAGAATAAACAGTAAAGAGACATGGAAAATAGAAAATTCCATTTCAGAAGCAAGGAAAAAATTGGGAGAAGGTAAGTATCAAGAACTAATGGACTAAGAGTTTTCAGATATGAAAAAAATATGACTCCTCTAATTTGGAAAAGCTCACTGAATCGCTAGGGAATATTACATTTAAAGTGTAGCAAAATAATTGCAAAAAAACACAAAAATTAACAGTTGGGACCCAATGAAACCAAAGAGCTTCTGCACAGTAAAAGAAAATATTATTAGAGTGAACAATCTACAGAATGGAAGAAAAGTTTTGCAAACTAGGCATCCAAGAAAGGTCGTACATCCAGAGTCTATAAGAAAATTAACAATTCAAGAAGCAGAAAACAACCCCATTAAAAAGTGAGTGGAACACATGAACAAACACTTCTCAAAAGAAGACATAAAAGCAGCAAACAAACATATAACAAAATGCTCAACATCACTGATCATCAGAGAAATGCAAATCAAAACTACAATGAGATGCCATCTCACACCAGTCAGAAAGAATATTTTTAAAAAGTCAAAAAACAACAGATGCTGGCGAGGCTGCAGATAAAGGCAACACTTATATACTGTTGATGGGAATGTAAATTAGTTCAGCCACTGGGAAAATCAGTTTAAAGATTTCTCAAAGAACTTAAAACAGAAATACCATTTGATCTAGCAATCCCATTACTGGGTATATACCGAAAGGAAAATAAGTCACTCTACAAAAAATACATATGCAATTATATGTTCATTATAGTGCTATTCACAATAGCAAAGACATGAAATCAACCCAGGTTTCTGTCAACAGTGGATTGGATAAAGTAAATGCGATACATATACACCACAGAATACTATGTAGCCATTAAAAAGAACAAAATCAAGTCCTTTGCAAGAACATGCATGCAGCTGCAGGCCATTATCCTAAGTGAAATGATGCAGGAAGAGAAAAATCCAATACCACATGTTCTCACTTGTAAGTGGGAGCTAAACATTGGGTACACATAGACATAAAGATGTGAACAATAGACACTGAGGACTGTTGTTGAGAAGAAGGTAAAAGGCTAAAAACTACATATTGGATGCTATGCTCACTACCTGGGCAATGGGATCATTCATACCTCAACCCTCAGTGTCAGAATATACCCATGTAACATATCTGCATATGTACCCACAGTATCTAAAAGTTAAATATTTTTTAAAAGGAAAATAAATAAATACAGTGCAGTAAAATAAACACAATAAAATCTTAAAAGTAGGCATTTGTCATTAAAGTTTAAAATGTTTACAGTGAAATAATAATCAAAATGATGAAAGACTTTTCATCAATAAA